AGTGGGAAAATCAGTGTATCAGTCTGCAACGTCCATTCCATAGAGGAGTTATTTTTTGTTGTAAGTGACAAATTGCATAGAACATGAGTTATATTCGTTTAAATAGTGGTGTTTATAACGGTTCCGGTTGAATTATTGTTCAAATAGGAATCGTGTAATAGGATTAATCTGGGTGGAATGATGTCGGTCTAGTCACAAGGGCTCGAATCCGATCGAAAGTGAGGTAAGTCACAGGATTATTTTTGGCCTGCGATATCTGTTTATCTAACAGTGGCGTAACATATTTCAAGTAATTAAAATATTCATATAAAAGAAGCTAAATATTTTAGTTTTGTTTGTAATCAGTTATCTACATAAATATTAATAACAATTAACTTTGTTATTTTATACAATTTAACTTTACATAATGTTTAATTGTCGTGTAGCTCAAAATAAACTATTTTGGTAGAATTTTTCTACACTTTAAAATAAGTTATTAAGAGATATAAAGTATATATGATAGAACTGTTTGTTATTAAAAAAATAGTATCGACGTCACTGAGTTTAGGCATAGTACAGTAAGCATACGAGGTCTAACTCCCTCCCCTATATGTTCCAGTTTGAATAAGGTCGTGCCACTCCAAAATGACTATTGCAAACGGCTATTTAGTGCAGTCAACCATGAAGCAGGTGTCCAGGAGTCACTTATCTATTGTCCTATTGACAAATAACACCATAATTGATCTCTAGTAAAGTATTTCAGCTACTGCTTTAAGCAAACTCGTCCCCTATTGTCCTATTAATTTATTGGGATACGGTGCGGTCTCTAAGTCTCAACAACTGCATCTACCCTTTAATTTCTAGTTTAAAACGAGTATATCCGTTGCGGAAAATTCTAATGAGAATAGAAATTGCAAAATTATTAATCACTAGTTTGTCTAGGCTAGAGAATTATTTACGGTTAAAATCTCGTCTTGTATAAAATATGTATTGGTGTAGCAGAATGTTTATTATGAAATATTAATATTTTTCTTATACTAGTTGAAATTTGTGAATTTACAAAAGTTTCAAAAGAAACATCTAGGAAAGCTGCTGGAAATAGTGCTGCACCCCCTTGAATAAATGTACTTTATCGACGAGTGGTGCGCGCCACCCTTATATGTGGCCTATATTGTCTCTCCAGCTGTGAATTGGAGCGACATCCCCTAAATAATATCAACCCCCTGATGCCCCGTGAGAAATCAATTTACATTTTATTGTTATTATATTTACTACAAACATGAGTTTTTATGTCTCCTATTTGCTCTTCATATTTCAAAATTTGTCTCTAACACAATTATGTAGCCGTAAACTTTTATGTTCTCCTTTTGATTTGAAGAATATCAGCTGTAAAGTTATGAGATATCCGATTGCTTTTTAAAGCGCTTAAAGTTTTCGAATAATGGCGAACCCGGCGAAAAAATTGTTTTATTTCGCACGAGAAAAAAACTGGCGAAAATCCTAAAATTAAATTCCGCCGACTGCGCCAATTTCCATCGTAAATATTTTGGCGTTTTAAATTGATATTTTCAATTCACGTAAAAGGCAAATGGCAATAGGCACGGTGCGAGTTTGATTTAATAAAAGTGAAATATGGTGTGAGTGAAATTGAATAAATTTATAATACTATTTAAAACGAAATGAAATGATGCAATTACACATTTTACGGGGAGTAAAGCGTGATTTTGTATTCAGCTGGTGTCGTTACTTGTTAGTGGTCGTGGTAAAACGAATGTCGGCACTGTCGACGCTCGACGTTGGGACGCCGACACGTAAGCACTAATTGCACGCTGATGAGAACGTGCGTTTTATTCTTTACAACTGTTGTTATTGCCAATTTTATACTAACAAATGTGGCTAATTGTTCTTCCTCCGCGTAAATTGCAAACATTCCATGTTGGATTTTTGATTGATTCCACATCTTTATTCCAACGCTGATATTATTATCAATGACTAAATTTATTATATTTACATATTAATTCCGAGAAATAACACATTTCAACGACGGTAAAACAGAAGGCATTTATCAAAGTCTACGGGAGTTTCTTCTCGGCCTTTATTTATTTATAATAGGATCCTAAAGTTATTCGTATTTACTTAATAAAAAAAATTCAAATGGTGATCGGTTTCGAAAGAATACACGCATTCGACAGTCGTTTTTTTGTATTCGTATTCGTCGGCGGGTTTGAGAAACTGAGAATATTTGTGTTATCGCGGCAGAAATCTGTGTAGCATAAGAAAGAAGTGTCATCGAGTTTAGGACAAATGTACTGCTTAGCTACTAGTCGTCGACAAATCACAGAGTTCCTTCTCATAAATCAATTAGCTGACTGCCAAGAATCGTCACACCGCTTTTTATCCATACGAGGGGAATCAAATTATTTCGCATCAAATATTAACGAGGGGTGTCTTCAATTTAAACCTATACAACTTTTTTTAATTCTTTCAAAATTAAATAAAGAACCACTATCAGAATCCTAGAACTTTTCTGTGGAAATAGACTTGCGGAATATATTTAAATTAATTTATTTAAATATACTTCTATGCGGTTTTTTACAGGACTAAGTGTGCAACTAAATTGCCTTGCTAATGAATCTCATATATATTTTATATCAGAACCAATAATCAAAACCAATTAATTAGTTTTTTGGAACCTCATTTCGCATTCTTTACGATTTCTCAAATTAAATTTATTAGTTTTGATCAGCATTGATATAACCTTCATACATTATTAATATCTATTAAAGTGATTTATTGCAGCCACTTATTAATACTTTACCTCAGTTGACGTAAATAAGGATTAAAAACTTACCTAACGCTTTATTAATTGCTTTCTAATAAACAATATTCTCGAATAAGAAAACTATTTACGTTCGGCGAATTGGATTCCCCATTTGCAAATTAATTCGCAGATATCTCTCCCACATGCCTTAAATACTGAAAAGAAATGCTAAAAACGTACTCGATTTCGCGGTTTCGTGACTCGACAAGATTCCGTAAAATCGTTTGAACGTCATTTTTAGGATTTCCGAGGTACATCAATGGAAAAGTCGATTCGCGTACGAATTTCGAATTCGCCATCGAAAAACCAGCATCAAGAGAGCGACTAAAATCATAAACGTAGAACTTCCATTCTCCTACATTTTATTGTCACCAGTGAAACAATTATTTTTTAGTGAATTTTTATAGTTTAATTAGATTCTTTGATTTTGAATGAAAACAGCTGTTTTAATAATAATTTCACTAAGATTAAATTATGCACAGATATATAACATATAACGCAGTTTTTTTTTCTTATGAGGAAAATGGTTCATATATTATAAATATTAATTATATTAATTCTATGTATTTTTGAAATTGTACGCCATTGAGCAGTAATGGGAAAATGTCGGCATTTTGAAAACAATTCAAACATAAATAAGTTGTCTACAGGTTTCGGTTGTAGCTGCCTGTAACGGCCGCTCGCGAGAATGCAAGAAAGATACACGGTACACGGTGCCGCTTGTTGCTCTACACGTAAACACGCTCTCCAGATTGTATATGGAAATTATATTAATACGGGAGATAAACTGAAATATCTATTACGGCAGTTCCATTCTTCCTATTGGTATTATTACTACCTCTTTCCTAGTCCTTTCATTAGATTGTTTTTTTGTTGGTTTGTACATAATTCCTAATTTATTACCTTTATTACAGGCGTGCATATTTCGAGCAAATCCTTCTCCTTTTTATTGTAATTTTTTAATCTCGTCTAAATAAAAAATCTTTATGATTTATTGGAAGCGATAATTATTCAGAACCAAAAGCAAGTTGTCGACAAATTTTTTATGTTAATCTTGGTGCAACCCTTTGAACGCGAACTCGCCCTATTACCAGTAAGGTTCACTTTTAACTGGATGTTTGTCCAAAAGATTAAAAGGATTACCGAAGATCAAATTTTTAAGCAAACACTCGGTATTTGTCGTAGGGATCGATTTGGAAAGGCTAGGTCCTGCTATTTTCGACGGACACTGCAGGAAAATTTTTTATCTAACATAAATTTAACTCTCAAGAAATTGGTTTAAGTGTGTACTTAATATCGCCCTATAAGTTTTTTTTTAAATATGGGTGTATTCTGAAAGGCGGATGAGAGATAGTCGGTGCAAATAAATCGAATGCTTGAACAGTTGGAAAAGTCGGATGTCGGTTTTTGATCCTTCTTTGAATATAGTGACAGTCGGTAGTCGGCAGTTGCAAGTTGCAAGAAAATGAAACTCGGCAATTCAATGATTACAGTCCAGTCAAATTGCTATACATACTTAACTATCGTTGTTAATTTATTTGCTCCTGCATTAACTTATTTCCAATAAACGATATATTGCAATAAAAGAATGTACTTAATCTTAAAAAACATCATACTTCCATACAAGTATGAGTTCTAATGCAAGAAATTTCTTTGATTTAAAAAGAATACCTGGTCTATTTTCTGGACGGTCGATTGGATGATAAGGTAATAACCGGACCAGTCACTGAGGATATTTAAATACATGAATTATGTAGATCTGTACTTATTCGATTGGACATATTGATACTCCACTTCAGGTTATTAATAGTCACAATTTACACACAATACAATACCAAACTCTGAATTCTACATTTCAATACAATTTATATTCAAATCCAATACATTCATTTGTGTAATTGTGCAAAACTTCCATTGCGATGTTCGGTATACATCAACAACTCAAGACTGCGAGACTGCATGGATAACCGCTACTACGACATGCTTTGTGGCTGCTTTTACCATTTCCATTTGTCTCTTGGATTAAAATAGTCAACGTGTTAATTTGAAATACAATTTTATATTCAATACAATGCAACATATTTGTGCTATATTTTTTAAATCTATATCTGTATTTGATTAAAAATCGTTTTGGGTAATTTGGAACTAATTTTTTAAAGGTATACCGAACAATGTTGTTAATAGTAACCTTTTATTTCAGTAGGCCCTCTATTTGGTGGGGGTTTCAATGGAAATGGAGCTTACACTTTTACAGTACCAGGACTACCACCAGCTGCCCATGCTCTTGCTAAGACTACGTTTCTCTTCGATCACGGTATTTATTCTATTTAGATTTTTATTAAAACTTTTGCGTAACATTTTGCTACTTTCTGGTAGCTATTTTTAGACTTTAATGAAATTTACAGAATATTAATTAAGCAGTTTACAGAAAATTTAATTATAATTTTACGTTATAGACGTCGCATATTGTATTTTGAGGAAACGAATATGTGCGACACGTCTCGTAAATAATTTCATTAATGTGCATCGTTTTGCTTCTTGAATACTTCATTTATATTTATTAGGTGTTCGTTATTTGAAATTGACTAATAGAAAATTTATGTGACGTTTTATTGCAATTTCGTACGTAATTAGAAAAATTAGCAAGGTCTTAAAGTTTATAAATTTATTGAATGTTGACATATTTAAAAAATCGTTACTGCGCTTTGGCTAATTATTCGTATTCGAGAAAAAAAATTGCTACACCAATGTCTGAATATTGCGACACGGTGGTTGTGAATCTGAGCGCCGGGCAGATTCTCCGACGATACGACACCTTTTGATCGGTGGCGCGTGATGCGTCCCACCCTCGAGCCGATGCGATGGTGCAAACGTTCGTAGGACCCTCTGCAACCGTAAAAACTCTGATACTAACATAATTAAAGTACAAGCACTGTAATTTTACTTAATTAAATTCCCTTTTCGGCGGACTGTCGACTGGAGCGCCACACAACGAAGGAGACACGATATGAACTTTTTTCCACCCAATGAACATTAAAACTCGGCATTTAATTTCATCAGAGATCTAAGAAAAGATTTTTGACCGTAAAAAAGAAGGAGGATTGCTCCTTCGGGGTTTTCGGCATTGAACAGATGGACGTTTATTCGCTTATCGCCTTTACAAACATAAAAACCCCTCAGAATGAGATAAAATGATTCTTTCTAATGAGCCATTTGCCTGTTTAATGACATTATTCCATTTTAACACCTTCACAATTTTTTTATCTAAGCATGAAATTTTCACAACAAATAAAACAATTTTGCATATTAACACACCTGCAATTATTTTAAATTTTATAAATAATTATAAGAGTAGGTACATAGAATTTATAATTCATAAACATTTAATTTTTATTGCAAATATTTACTATGGAAAGAAATTGTTTTAATTTTTATTGGATCGATTTTCCCTATCCACCAGCTGCACAGACCGAAGCGAAACCGGCACTGCTCTTTTGTGTTCTTTCTCATTTCTTATCGCTAGTGATTTATCGGGATTTAAAATTGTTGCACCCGAGTTATCTTTTTAATTGTAACTGCTGCCGAGTGCCAATGTCGTCTTCGAGCGCAGGGTTGTTTGGTTGGGGGAAACTTCAAGAAGCAATTATTACTTGAAATAAAAGCAATAAAAAGGAACTAACTGGAGCAGGAGTGAATGCGGTCTAAATTAAAAAAATCCTCTTTAGTTTTGCCTAAAAGTTTGTGTATAGTTTTTTGTATTTTTGATTATTGTTTCCAAAAATCCGGCTCTGGTTATGAATCCCTTTTCTCATCGAACGAAACACCTGCTAACTCTTCTTGCCTTATTTCGCGCGACCTGTGACTTTACTGCTCTGAAATATGGTAATTACCCCATCTTCTATTACTTTTACATCTTCTTTCTGCCTTCTTAGCCGTTCGCTTTAAGGAAGTAGCCATCTTGAATGCCTTTATTATGTCCTTTATCTTCGGTGTTTTTTATCTTAACGCCATAGTTCTCTACCGCTTTAGATGTAACGACTCACGTTTGTTTCGTTCAGTATGTCCAGTGGAATTTTTAATGGTAATTCAACAATGCGAGAACAGTTTACTGATGGTTATCTCGCAGTTAAACGGGAAAATTATTATGTATTTCGCGTTGAATTTGGATTAATTTTTTATGAATGCAGTTCAATTATATGAAATTAAAGCCATATACGACTCGGAGTTTTTGAAATTCAATTTTGTCGTACAATTAATCATGGCCTCCTGCAGTTCTTTGAAGCATGTAAGACCATTGAACGAGCATTCCATCTCAATTAAACCTATCGAAGAATAAGTAACACATAAATTGCGTCGAGAAAAAGGTGGCGAAGTTATTTCACCAGAAGCAATTTCCATGTTAGTTCGCGGCTTGACGAAATTTTCTCTATCTCGTTCAGTCGCTTTCGATTCGGCCGGAATCCATCCTTGTCTCGAAGATTGCCGAGGATCGCTGCAATTTGCTACGAGTGATCCGATAACCGAGGGCTCTGACATATGGCTACACATGCCGCTCTCCTCTTTACAACTTAAGATACGAGGACTAGTATAAACAAACATCGTTCTTTGCATATCTTATGTGTGTTTCCTTCGTAATAGGGGTTCTTACCGCCGATCCGAGAGGGTTGTTACAACAGCTATTATGTCATAATAGCATATTGAAGGGCTTATTACACGCACAGAGACGTCACGTTAGGATGGCACATAAATTGGAATATATTACGATTTTGATAGGACGGTATTTTTATATTTTTTGTTAATTTTTTTTATTTTATATTTAATAAACTGATTAGTCTCGTAATAATTGTATAAAAAATTAGTTAATTGTCATTTTTCGTTAAAAGTAAAACGAATTGCGTTCGGCCACTTTTCATTTCGTTAATCAAATAACGAAAATGCATTAACGAATAACGTTGTAGTGACTACTCGACATCTCGTCCGATGACGATACGACGGTTAGCGCATTATATACCATGTGCCATCAGACAAAAGTCACTAATACATCTGCATAATTAATTAATTTACTAATGTAGTAGATACATTTTTGACAGTAAGTATATTAAGATAATTCCATTATCTACCGAAATTACTGAAGTTACTTAAGAATAATATGAAAAACATATATTATGTAATCAATTATATATAATAAAATAAATGCACCATCAGATAAAAGTTGATATTAATTAATGAAATTGTCAATAATTTACAAAATTAAAATCCACAGTGCTATTAGGTACTATTTACAAGTATTAGAATTCGTATCTGGCATATAGCAATGACATTATCTCCCCTATAGAGGGCGACATATCGCGACAGCTAATAGGCACTACTGAACTAAATTTCGGCCCTTTGGGCAACCCTACACAATTACCTTAACTAATTACTCTCCTTTCAACGCGGCAGCGACAACGGCACTGAATCAATCAGCTAAATCGTTTTCCGAATTAAACGTACGTAAACGGTTTATGAGACACTTCTGCGGGATACCATAGGTGGGGAAAGCGTAATGTTATTACTTTTTTATAAGTGAATTAGAGTTTTTTTTGTAATATAAAAGTTTGTTCAATTTTAGTCATATGTCGAAGATCTCGTGTATCAAATCGCAAGGATTTATGGTCTGGAGTATCGGAATGTTATCAGATTCAATAGAGGAAACAAAGGGAAATCCCCCTATTTACATTTTGGTGATTTTGTGTGTAAAAAGAGATAGTTTAAATTTAAAACTACAAAGCGGCGAAAGGGATCCCAACGTAAAGAATGCGGCGATATTTTAAAGCGCTATCTCGATTGTCAGTATCGGACTCTACGCCTGCCTTTTGTGCCTTTATTTTATTTAGATCGAGGAACACATGTTCAAAAGACCGAACGAAAGTATCGAAAAAATTGAAAAGTTTTATTTAAAATCGTCGACGTTTAATGAAACACACGCGGACGTTTTAATTGCATCGCGTCTCAATTGCCAATGACAATTTACAGCATCGATCACGGCACCTACGTATACGCTATGAAATCTACAAATGGAAAATATCTGTTTCAGATATTGCTCGTAATTGGTGTTATTTCTAATGAACAAGAATCGAACAATAGTGATGACAAACGATAACAAGTTATTACATTCGGCAAAACGCGTAGGGGAGCTGCGATGCAGTGTGACTGTGACTGCTGCAGTTCCTGACAGTTGACTTTGTAACCCCAGTTTAATCACTCACTTGCAACTACGTCCGTGTCTGCGTAAAGGGGGTGATTCACTTCAAATTTATATGAATATCTGGACTAGTTCTGCATATAAAATAATATAGTTATTTATTTCTCAAATTCGAATTTTTATTAAACTCGGGATATTTTCGGCAAGCAGATATTATATTTTCTCATCAGGGTGGGAAATTAACAAGATATTAAAAAATTGAATGCATCCTATTAGCGCGAATAACGACATATTAAATATTTTATGTTCCTTGATGGTTGTACAGATATGTTTTGAAGCCACCGATGTGGTGTGGAGTGTATAGAATGGTGACCACCATAAATGCTATTTTTACGACGGGTGTTAATAAGAACCACGTTAGTTCGTCCACGGACGGAACGGATTCCAATGTATAATTGCCCACAATAACTTCATCTCGAGATTTTCGCTTTTCTTTTTTTATGGGACGGATTGACTTGTAAATTCCATTCGCAAGGAGTGTCACCAACAAACTATAGTATTAAAATTAAATTGTAAATCGTTATATTATAAATTAATTAATTCGAAAACTATAGAAACAAAAATTTGATGTACCTGCAAGTAATTAAACTTTCGTGAAAACCGTTTCATAAAGAAAGTTAATTGAATTAAAAAGTCGAAAAGCTGCGTAATTAAAGATATGGTGAGTCTAGTCTGAGTTGTAAGTAATTCGAGCAGGTTGATGTTAGGAAGCGATTATCAGACTACTTGCCGTCTCGTTGTTAATACAGTTTTCATCAGCGGAGATCCTTTACACGTTTTTAAAGAGCGAAAGTGACAAGGAGTCTCGCTCCCCCCGGTCTTTAATTTAATCAGCAGCTGAATGAGCTAAACTTTTCATTTATTTTTATACTTTGCGACTTTGTGTCTTATTACTTTGCATCTCGACGTTGATTTTTAGCATCTCTTTATGGCATTAGAAGACGATGACGTTCAGCACACTTTAAACTTCAATTATGAACGTTTGTTTTTAAGTAATCTAATTATTTATTTTTATCCGTCTCGTTCAGGAGTCAACGTTGAATTAGCTTTCAAACAGTAATTAATTCGAA